GGGGGGGGGGGGATGGGCACTGCTGGAATTGACTGATGCATTACCACCCTTCCTTTTCTCGGACTAGCTACTGTAAACTACGAGGTATTTGCTGAGCCCATGAGACAGGCACCATTTTCCACTAATTATTAAAACATACAGTTACATTTCTAACCACAGGTCACAGTGCCGCCTTGTGTAGCTACGCGTATGGTACAATAGTTTCATAAATTATAAATTTTATAAATACGATTGTTTTTCATTAAATTTAATAGTTGTAGGCAACGAAAGTGAACTACTCAGTAGGTCTAAGCATCGTTTTCACAAGTTTATTACTTGTGGTACAATTGCGAAGTGACTTAGGGTTTTAGGTTCGATCTTGCTACTGCATATGCTAAGCCGAACGACATTCGCTTTCCAGGCAAGGTAGTTCACGATCCACTCTAAACAAACACAACTGTCTGGCGAATTAGAATGCTTGGTCGGTTTTTCGGCTTTAGTATTCTTTCACACCTGAGATACCGGATGCTATATGCTAGGAAGTGGCTCAAACAGTTGCCAGAGAGCGGAAATTATTCGCAACAAATCTCAATTCGCTGACAAATTGTCGAGCTACGATCCTAGGTTATCGTTGAAGATGCTGCTTCTCTCAGCGGTAGCATATGACTCACATGATCCAGAAGAATGCCTCAAGAACTCTCTGCTATCTGACAAGTTTCGACTTCAGATTGTGGTAACGAAGACCTGTGACCGGTTTAAAAGCAACTGTTCTGGCCATAATGCTGTTTCGCATACCTTGGAAGTCAGAGTAGTAGCTTTTCTCGGCTCTGAAGATCTTGATCAAGCGTTTACCCAATTCTTAGTGTCCCTACTTTCAAGCAAAACTCCATTTCTAAATTATACAGTTGAATCCTCCTGAAGGAGATGATTTGAGAAGTTATTGCAGTCGAGCATGGAGGAAGAAGTGAAAGCTGTCGTTGTGAAGATTCCATCTTATCAGATCTGGGTCACGGCACATTCCTTAGGAGGTGCAATGGTTTCGTTGGCAAGTACATGGCTCGCTTATCGCAACCGAGCTCCTCGTAAGAACATCATTTTGTACACGTTTGGCATGCCTCGGGTTGATAACTACGATTATGCTCTGCAACACGATCAACTGGTAAACAACAGTTGGAGAGTTGTTAATGACAATGATTTGCTTCCTCATTTCCCCAGTGTAGTTTCTGTCAGCATTTTAAACGACCCTTATCATCACGGAGTCAAAGCTTTCAACGGCGAGGAATTCTAAACACAGGCGGAATGCCACGACAAACCGTACAACGAAGATGCCACATGCAGCTTCTTCGAAGGATTCACATCCGATTCTATCAAGAGACACAAAATAATACTTTAGCATTCCGGTCGGAACATTCTGGCAGACAAATTGTATTCAATGAACGCGTAACAGACACTGCCGTGGAGGTCATCAAAGATGTTCTCATGTGGTCATAATAAATAAATCGTAGTTTTGTTGATAGGAAGATATCGCATTGCTCTCTTTATTTTAAGAACGTCGAATATTTCAGGGTTGACCCCAAACGATTTTAGCGGCTACAAATGCACCCACTCCTCAACGCCAAACTGGATTAGTAGGCTTGAATGATTTAAGCCTGAAATTTTTTAACAAAGCATGGTTTTATTTCACTCAGGTCAAGTTTAAAAAAGATTTAAGGTGATTTTTGCAGTAAGTAGAGGTCACTTCCCGTGATCAGCAAGCTTCAGTTTTTTGTCTGTTGGATTACACTTCTATACGAACAAGATTTGACTAATACTGACACTTTTCACAAGAATCATTTTCAGATCTGAGTGCAATTTTAGTGGATGCTCTTAAAATCGTTCTTTCGACGTTTTTGTATAAAAAGAGGGGGATTATACCTCACCGAACTTGTTAACCCTTTAGAGCCTGTAGACATTATGGTAGTTTAGTTACTTGTGATATATCTTTCGGTAGTAATAGGCCGAACAACGTAATCAAATCTGTGTCTCTATCATGGCTGCTATTGGAAGCTCGTGGTGGCTAAGTGTAGTGCACTACTCTTTATAGAGGATTGTTGATAATATTTTTCAACCTGCAACGTTGACGAGAACTTTAGTTTTTACTAAGTTCATTTGCTATTGCATAGTTATAGTTATGTGGGTGTTTCATGGTTCTTTTTTTATGTCTCGTATAAACAGTGGCATATAATGATAGCTCCCTAGCATGCATGTGAAGGTGAAAATAAAATACTTGGTCTCATGATTCACTGGAGTCTGCATTGGGCCAAGCTTAAGTGCCGAGTTTTACCGCCTGAGCTTATCCCGGTTTCTATAGCGTTTTAAAGGTGCCCACAAGGACTTTTCTGCCTCCACCTGGATGGGATTCTACAGTCCGTTGCAGGGTCATTCCTCAGCATTGAATTCACGGGTGGAGAGAGGCAATTTGGGAGTAAAGTGTCTTTCTCAAGAAGATAACGAAATGGCCACGGCCAGGGTTTCAACCCGGACAACTGTTGAATAGGCAGAGAATTATGGTGTTATATTCCGTGACTGAGGCAAAGAAAAAACTTTGTAAAAAAAAAAACAATGCCTTCGGTTGGCTTAGTCACAAACAATGCTTGCAGTAGATGGATTGCAGCTCAAACTGAGATCCAATTGAAACTGATTTTGATTTTTGGTCCCACACCTAGGTAGTCCTTCTAGTGTTCTTAACTGGACGGATTTCTTTCCTATAATTGAAAATTCATTTTTAATTAGCTGAGCATGCGGTCAAATATTCTTTCGTTAGGGCAACGAGGCAATTGGACATCATTGGATCAACACGAAGCAGAATTGACACTTTCGCGTCTTTTTTGTGTCAAACCGTAGATAACTGCAGTGAAAGCAATTAGGAAAACCCTAAGAGACCAACACTAGATAAATGCAATTACGTGGTTGGGAACCCAACTGACGCATACAAACGACAGGTCAGTTGCACGAGTGACTTTAATTAAACCTTTTAGTATAACTTTTCGGAAAATGTTTTTTTTTGTTGTCAGGCATCCAGTAGAGATCATTTATTGATATCACTTTACCTCCTCTAAAGATAGTGACATTAAAATCTTTTTCTAATTCGCTAAGTGCTCTTAAGCATTCACGTATTGTTTATCTTCTATTTCATCAAATTTCCAAATTAAGAGTTAGTTCCCTAGGTAACAACTGACACATGATTTATTTAGCTGCCAGTTGGCACGTCAATGCTACCAATTATGACTGAAAGAAAAGATCAGCTCGTCACAGAGACCAAACCGATATCGAAGGTCTCACGGATGCGAGAACTCGATTGAAAACGTGTACAAGAAGTCAATCCAAGCGCAGTAAGTCGTGATGTTTGCTACTTTAATTAATACCTAGCTTTTTCAGTAGTATAGTTGCCCGTGATTTCGTGCACTTGCGCCAAGAGAGTGGAGGAGCAAAGTTCCTTTCTGAGAGCCGTTCCAAGGCAAATCCAACACCCTCAGGCTCAATCAAAAAGCTGAAATGTTGGTTTTCTTTTCCTTCCCTAATTTTTTTTAGTAGGAAAGCCAAGCCAAAAGTATATTTAAAATATAAAAAAGCCATAAGAAAAGTATAAAGACAAGTATATAAACAAGTCTAAACATGCATATGGGGAACAATCTTTTTCTGCTTTATTCAGGGGTTTTCTCGCAATCTGCCCTGTCAAGTACCACAAATAATCGATGCAACTCCGATAATCGTACAAAAAGACACATTCATAAACAATTTCACAAATTATGCCGCGGTAACTTTCAGACTGCGTCACCGTTTTTGAGCTTGTAAACTGTATATGTCGTTGTAAAAGTTGGATGAACCATTATGCACGCAGCCTTTCTTCGCTAACATGGAATAATTTTTTTTGTCACTTCGTTTCATTGCAACCCGAGAGGAGATCCAGGGTCTATAAGGAGGTCCATATAGTGGACAATCAGTGTAATCAATTCAAGTTCGAAAAACCACCTGCCTGCCCTGAAGGCATTCTGAACTTCGAGGATGCAACGTAGCCGAGTGGGTAAGAAGCTTGCCTTGAAAATCGAAGGTCGCGGACTGTTTTCGTTGCAGTTGCTTAGTCGCGATAGACCGGAGTTCAAATCTAAATAACCAACTGGTTAGCCTCCTGTTAGTTGGGCCTTAATCTTGTTCTGTTCTGATTTAAATTATTAGCACAGCTCATTCATCTCTGAAACGAATTGAAGTCTGTGACCCCTTTATGTTTGCATTTCTAACACAAGTAACTCGTTATCTGAACACACACAAAAAAAAATAGAAATTGAAAATATTCTATATGTATTAGAAGATCTTCGCGGCAATGTCATTAGGCTAGAGAAGGTTCTCTTAATTAGTTTTGCATATGTAAATTCACAAATATTCATTATCCGCAGGGTTGTAAGTCCGTTTCACCGTGCTAAGCATCTCGTCGCTGTTGATGATGCTTCGTCCGTCCTTCCTCTTTCTAATCCTCGTACAACTGACTCTAGTTACGGCCTTCTTCTCACGGCCCTGTAGTAAAACCAACTGCGGAGACTGCGCCAGGTCGAGCTTCCTGTTTGTATCATGTAGATGGTGCAAGAGGGATAACAAGTGCCATGTACCAGGCGATGTTGCAACGAACCCTTGCAAAGCAGCGGAAAATATTGTGGAGAAATCTCACTGTGCTGACGAATTTTCAAGCTACAATCCTGAATTATCCCTGAAGATGTTGTATCTCTCGGCAGTAGCGTATGACCAGTCTAATAACCTGGCACATCAACAGCAATGCCTCGACAATGCTCTCACATCTGACAAATTCCAACTTCAGACTGTGATTACGAAGACCTGTGATGCTGCTGGTCATGATTGCTCTGGCTATGTTGCTATCTCACATACCTTGAAAGCTATTGCGGTCGCCTTTCGCGGTTCTAAGGATTTTAATCAAGTGGTAAAACAAATTTTAGAAATCCTACTTTCCCCCAAAACGCGATTTCTGGACGGCGAGGTTCAGAGCTACTGGAAGAGAGGTTTCGATGTGTTATGGCCCAGCATGAAGACGGAAGTGAACACTCTCGTTTCGCAGAATCCATCGTATCAGATCTGGGTCACGGGGCATTCCTTAGGAGGGGCAATGGCTTCGTTGGCAAGTACTTGGCTCGCTTATCACAACATAGCTCCTCGTAAGAACATCATCTTGTACACGTTTGGCATGCCTCGGGTTGGTAACTATGACTATGCTCTGCAACACGATCAACTGGTCAACAACAGTTGGAGAATTGTTAATGACAATGATTTGGTTCCTCATTTCCCCAGTGTAGTTTCTGTCAGCATTTTAAACGGTCCTTATCATCACGGAGTGGAAGCTTTCTACAGCCAAGAAGCTACCAGCGTGTATTCCCCACACAAAGAATGTCACGGCAAACCGTACAACGAAGATGCTACATGCAGCTTCTCCAAAGGGATCACATCCGATTCTATCGAGAAACACAAAACATACTTCAGCATTCCTGTCGGAACATTCTGGGAAACAGACTGTGTACCCCAAACTCGCAAGAGGCGCGAAGAATCATCAAGA